ATGCCGACATGGGGATAGAAAGGATTGTTAGTAGGACACTTAAGAGAGATGCATGGAACTCTATGATGACTCCTCATAATTGACACGGGAGGGTTGGTATTCAATTAATAGGGAGAGTTCGCCATAAAATACGATAGTAGGGTTGTTCCGCCTAGCTAATTCGATTCTAAATCAGGTTCTGATCATTCTCCCAAAATTTAAACTCATGAAAAAATATTGGTTGCGATCTCATACTGCACTGGCCTCTTTGAATTACATGGGAAAAGCAAACAATTTTTTGTTCTCCTCGTTCAAGCCTTTCGCCATAATGGTTACGGAAATTTAACCAAGCTACAAATATTTCAAGTGAATGAGCCTGGGATTGAACCCACGATCTTCTGCTCTCTGAGCAGACACTTGGCGTACTTAACCATCGAACCCATCCGTATTTTTTATTTCCTCTGCTCTCTGGATTCTTTCAAAATCCCTACATTTCTTAACTTCCCTTTGTAAAAAAAAACATGCATTGTTTCACGATACACAATTATCAATGATTGGGCTTGCATTAGGATTAGATTAATACTAATATACATTTTCTAATAAACTTATGGACTTGAGACCCCCTCTCCCAGCGTGAATAATCGTCCATATAGTTTTTTTTTTAAATTTATATGAACCGCTGTTTCTGGCCCTCTATCATGAAACCAAGGTAATTATTGATATAATGGATTTCATATTTTTGCCAATTTAAGAATAATTTGAAATTCAGTAATGATTTTTTAATCATTAAATATTTTGAATTGGAATGCTCGATCTCTTAAAGATAATGAGCTATTTGACTTTTTGAGAGTTCATAACGTGAATATTGCCTGAAACGTTCTTTAAACCGGACCATAAGGTTAAAAGGGACGCAAATTATTTCATTTATCGAAATGACCGTTGATGGAGCCGGTGCCATCATTGTTCATAGACGTATCAACCATCAAATCCTTTCTTCATTTGAAACCACAGGTTTTGAAACTTTCGGAACACAATTTGGAAAACTTACGTCTATAGCTGCCTATTTGCCATTCCAATGCGTTGGCCAGCAACAGAATTTTCTCAAGGGTGACCTTCAGAAACTTACCCGTCATCGGTCTAAATTCTTCATTATTGGTGATTTTAATGCAAAATACCGCTTATGGAATAATGCTCAAATCAATCCCAATGGTAATATTCTGTTTGCTTCTGTTTTGTTCTGCAGGTTATTACACTATTCAATATCCAAATAGCCCAACATGCTTTTCTTCAGCAAGAAATCCGTTAACTATCGATTTAGCCTTAACTGATTCATGCCAACTTTGTAGCCATTTGGTTACCCACGCTGACTTCGGTTCTGACCATCTTCCAGTAACTTTTGAAATATCCCAAGAAATTATGTTTTCTAATCCCAACAGCTCTATTTTCAATTACCATAGAGCTTGGGAGCAATATTGAACATTTATGGAATATAACTTTGTTCCAAATATTCATTTGCAAACCAAAGATGATGTTAATTATACTCTTGAATCTCTGACTACGTCTATAGTTGAAGCAAGAGTTGCCCCAGAGGCAACAATATAAACAATCGATAGAACTCTTTCCGCACATCGAAGGTACGTGAGCAAATCGGAGATTCCCTGTTTGAATGGATGATGAGATACCCCTCACCATCCCTTCCCAACAGGGAAGTTTGGTAAAGGAGATGATCAACCCGATTCGTGCCTTCTTCAAAATTGATCTTTACTCGCTTGCTCGCTTTTACTCTCTATATACAATTTTCACACTGCCGTACTCTAACGGAACTATCAACTCTATACTTTCATCTCCTCATGTATCGTATAAAATGACCACTTTAAGTCTGATATCTGACGTTAAGCATCTCCAACTATGTAAATTAGCTAAATTAAAGTAATGATGTTGAAACATAGCCATAATGTTAAACTTTATTTCCTGAGAGTTTAAAGAGAATCAGACTTAAACAGAACTTTTGGCGACCATTTTTGTGTGTCTCATTTTTTTCGAATATGGTCGCGACAGATATGCATTTAAAATACTTATATACAGCATGAAGCATCTGCAATGCAAATATGAGGTTGATATACTACTAATTCTAATGCTTAGTGGTTACATGGGTGGCCTTTCATAAGCTTTTACAACAGCATTTCTAATCTGGAGAACAAACTGGCGAACGGCCATCCATCTTGAATATTTTTAAGGATTTTCTACCCGTTGTGGTTTTCCGACTCCGTCAGGTTTACCAACTCCTGCTGGTTTTCCAACTCCATCAGGCTTACCGCGATGATCCTTGCCTACACCATCGGGTTTTCCATGTTTACCTCCGGCTCCGCTTGGGTTTGCGACACCATTCGGACGGCCATCGTGTGCAAGGCAGACCACAATGCACAGAGTGGCGGAGGACACTAGCAGGCAGAAGTTTGTTCATTTTTGCGGCTGAAATTGACTGGAACTAATGTATTCGAAGCTGAAGAGGTAGCCTTTTATGCATGGAAATTTTTATGAATCTATATTTTTTTTCCAAACGGTTTAATTGAACTGATTTTAAGTTTCAATATCAAGCAATTTACTTCGCACTAGCAATCTACAGTCTACACATGCGTTTTGTAAAGTTTGAATGGTTGGAAACGTTATTTTAAACTGCTCTAATTCATTGTAACATAATGTTACTCTTATTTGAGCGATGAACTTAATAGTGCCATGTGTAATACCAAAAGACACTGTATGTATTAAGAAGTTTGAGCATTTTTGTGAATCTGTATAGTTGAAGCAGTCCTTCTTTTCAACAAACCTTTCTACAGTCAACTCTCCACATCTTGATATGTGGTAACTTTTCTGCATATGTCGATTGTTTTCTCAGTACACCTCTCTAGCCTTTATAGAGATGTGGAGAAACGATTGTGGTCTGGAGTAGAATTTCATCTAACAGCTGTTCACAATGTTCTGCTATCCCCAATCGAGCGTTCATTCCACTGACATGTAATTTCATAATTTTCTCCGTATCGCTTTTGTTGTTGCTCAACCGGTGCTCCGTTGGAAGTTTCCCTGACGAAAATCTCAAAGACACTCAGCTTCACCATCTCATGGCCGAAACAAGCAAACATACCGTTCTCTACAACAGCATAGTGAACATTCAGAAGCCCAGTTAGTCACCATTGTCGGTGGCTCCGTTATTTCCATAAATACGAACGCTTATGACTATACTGGTCACTAGGATGGAGCTTGGTCCAATGTAGTTTTTACAACCAGTGCAAATAGCATTGATGAAACGACTAGCTGTATACAACTACAACTGCCATGATGCAATATTTCGATTCAAAGTATGGCGTTAAAACTGAGGTTGGGATAGCTCCCACCTGGGACAAACCGACACGGCCAACAATAAGCTGCCCGAGTCATCGCGTGGTCTTTTTCTGGGCTTAGGGTTTGAAGTCCCACCGGCGACGACGACTACGCAATGCACACCACAACCGGTGATGGCGACGTGAGCGGAAAAGTTGAATGAATTCTCATGTCTCGTTTGCGTGTGCTGTGCTCCTTCGACAAGCGATGGTGGTACATATAACAACGCAGTCGATCGGTGCAGCAATCGGAAGAGAATCGAGAAAATTATGTGAAAAATCGTTGCATTAAGAAGACGCATCGCGAAGCTAAATCTCTCGTTTCTCATTCATCGTCGTCTTCGGTCGGGCGTCTTTCTTGGATATAGCACCGTACGGTCGCAACGGATAGCAATCTGAAATGTAGGTACCTACGTGACGGAAGGTTCGCGAGAAAAAAAAAACTATGGAAGTGTTATAGTCATCAACTTCAGACGATTTCTCAGTAGCAGCCAACCAGCCAGCGGTTTGGGTTTGAAGTTTGAGTCATGTAGTCATAATTAGTGAAAAAGGTGGTATGGCAGCATTTTCTATGAACCCTTGGTCGCATAGTATACACAACCATTCGCAAGTTTGAAAACGATTTGCTAAAAAAGGAGGTCGTAAGCGTTGTAACAATGTTTTGAAAATGTCGAATACCTACTACAATTATTTAGGGCAGTGTGACCTTCTAGCAACCCAAAAGCAGATATGCTAAGTGACACCAAACGTTTCTGCATCGGTTCGAATCCAAATTAAACAGAGGTTGTCTAGAAATTCTTCTTCTCGTCTTTGAGCGAGATATTGATTGCAAGACGCACCGGTTCAAATGATAGCAGAATGCACACCGCGGTGGTTGGAGATTAGTTTCACTAAATATAGAACTCTTCATCAACATTTCAAAAGGGCGAAACAAGCTCACACATGCAAACTAACGACATCATCAGGCAGATGAATGTTTCCTCTACCAGCTGGCATCGTTAATTTGCAGGAGTTATTTACGAGAAATCGGCAATTGAAGCCATTGTTGACAATGACTAATAAAATGTTGGCATCGAACTATTAATTTCTTGATACCGAGAACACCACAAAAATTCATCGATAGATTAATACAATGTCGATTCAAATTCAATAGATGTTTTCGTCTCAAAAATGTTTACCAGTAGGTAATTATCTCAGATGTGATAGTGACAATTCAGTTGTATACACCCAAAAATATATAATGTACACCAAGCAAAGCGAGCGGTCAATGTGCGTGAAGAATTCAAGTGTAAATTAAGATTAAGGAAGAAAGAAGAGAATAGAAAAAACCCCACAGGTTGGCTTGGCATTTTAGAGAAGAATTTACACAGCCGAAAAAACAACAGCAGAGTGATTTCATGTGAGAAGCATATTGTGAAAAAAAAAATATCAAAAACAGCGGATATCTTATTCTAATAAGAAATTTAGCCAAACATCATTCGCTACACTGATCACCAACAGCAGTAGCGGCAGCAGCACCTGTAATTGAGAAAATATCGTGTTGATTTAAGTGATGTTTGATTGCTAACATCGGATCAGACTTATTTTTTCATGTTTATTTTTATATCATCTCTTCTCCGTCCATCCATCGAACTGAAAAAAAAGTGCAGTGAAGGAAGTGAAGAAAAAATAGCAGATTGATTGCAGGGGTGATAACAAGGTGTGGTAAATCCGAATTGAAGAAGCAAATTGTGTTTTCCTACAATCATGTGAAGATAATGAAGAAGTTGAGTAGGCGACGAAGAATTACTCCTTGGAAAGCTGTCTGCTGTGAATAGTTTGAATAAAATTTCATCATCGTTTGCTTTTCACTGAACGCATTGGGCTGTCAAAGCAGCTTTATTTGATCATTCACTGTAATCCTATTCTGAGGTGGCCGCTCCTACCACCCCGTCGGACACTACCAAGCTATGGATATTATCATCGACGTAGAAGAAGTGCTCGTAGACGACTCATTCATTTGGTAAGTTTCGCTATGTTTTTATTTTATTCAATCCACTGTGGGACGAAATCAAAAAACGTTTTTGACGAAACTATTGAGTGTAGCATTTTGATGTCTTCTAGAATGTACTTCATTTTTTTTCAGTACTTAATTTGAGTAGTAAACATTTTTGCTTAAAAGATAAAAAATCTATTTTATGTCTTGTTAAAACTGATGAACATCTATGGAAATTGTCGATAAATTCATTTTTAGAAACTCTGTCGAAGACAAAAAATTCTATCTCTCAAGTGGACGAAGCAAACCGACATGAAAGACCTTAGCAAAAACAATAAAATTTCTGACCAAAGCACACTCATGACATCTGGCTCCGGGTTGACGGGAAATATTTAGCTAAGCCATGAACCCCCATGCAAAAGTTATGAATTGGTTCGTGTTTGATCTATTCTGGGCAAATTATTTTTATCTAGATTAAAAAATCCTATGTTTTTGACAGTTCGGATCACTGCACATTTAAATCGACCGTTTACGATTTTCGGGCATAAGTCAGAATTAAGTGTCATGTCGGTTTGTCGGTGGTAATAGGGTGAAAATGGAGTACAAACGGTAATACCCCCTTAAAAACGTTTTTTTACCATAATTTATTTTTTTATTTTTCCAGTTTTTAAATGTTCTACTAAGTTGTAAGTGCTTTAAAAACAAATTGCTATCTCTTTGTTTTAAAGAGATTTACGCCCGTTTTTATATTTTTAATACTATCTTGCAGATAAGCAGTTATTAGCAGCTAATCTCAACGTGATTTAGGTCAGCCACTTATACCCTACTGTTACACATACAATTGTCAAGTTTACATCCCCCTGTTCCCCACTGCTCTTTCAATGCGTATTGAAGTCCAAACAACTGTGCACAATTTGAACAAAAATCCAAATATTGTTCAAACTTTACCAAATTTTGAACTTAGATTGAAAATAGTACACAAAACAACTTTCTCTAAGACTGCAAACTGCATTTCCAAAGCACTTACAACTTTGTAGAACTTTAAAAAAATAGAAAAATTCAAACAAAAAAGTTATGCTAATGAACGTTTTTTTAAGGGGTTACTACCGTTTGTACTCCATTTTCACCCTATATCTTCGTCCACTTGAGAGATAGGAAATTTTCGTATTCGATAAGGTTTCTTAAAATGACTTCATCTACAATGTTTCCATAGATGTTCACTAATTTTAACAAGACATAAACAACATATTTTTTTGTATATCCATCTGTATATCCACCTGCTCGAAATCAGAATTTTTTACTTATCCTGCCCAAGTAACCATAGGCACGTTATTTCGCCTTTTTGGCTATATACAGCCACCCACAACGTTACGCCATATCACTCGGTCCGTGGCTGCTTGTCTCCAATTTCTTGACCGTCCCACACTTCCAAGATCCTGCTCCACTTGGTCTAATCACCTTGCTCGCTGTGCTCCTCTTCGTCTTGTACCGGCCGGATTCGAGGCAAACACCATTTTTGCGGGATTATTGCCCGGCGTTCTTAAAACGTGTCCCACCCATCCTACCCGTTCCGCAGCTTTTGTAACTTTCTGGATACAGGGTTCGCCATAGAGTTGCGCGTTCATCCTTCGCCTCCATACACCGTTCTCACATGCCCCGTAAAAGATGGTCCTAAGCACTCGTCGTTCGAAAACACCCAGTGCTTGCAGGTCCTCCTCGAGCATCGTCCACGTCTCGTGCCCGTAGAGGTCTTATCAGGGTCTTGTACATGATACATTTAGTACGGAGGTAAAGTTTACCCGACTTCAGGGTCTTGTGGAGTCCGTAGTAAGCACGACTTCCGACGTCACCAATGATCCGAGGTACACAAATTCATCCACCACCTCGAAATCATCTCCGTCGATTGTCACGCTTCTGCCTATGCGAGCCCTATCCCGCTCGGTTCCTCCAGCGAACAGCCTAATTTGGGCAAATACATACATTCAGCAATCGACTAAATTTTCAATAGCCTCCAAAAATATCCATAAGCTGCGTCCCAATGACGCGTTCATCTAGATAAAATTGATAAATAGCAGATTTTTAGCGATGGGCCCAATCTTAGGATCCATAGGCCAATATTAGAGCCATTTACCCTACTTTGTCTTCGACGTATTCACCTTTAATACAACCTTCTCTGCTTCACGTTTCAGCCTGGTGTACTGCTCCGCCACGGCCTGAAACGTTCTTCCGACAATGTCCACGTCGTCAGCGAAGCAGATGAACTGGCTGGACTTATTGAAGATCGTGCTCGCATGTTAAAGGCCGCACGTTTCATAACACCTTCTAGCGCAATGTTAAACATGAGGCAGGAAAGACCATCGTCTTGTCGAAGTCCTTTGCGAGTTTCAAACGAGTCCGATAACGCACCCGATATCTTCACGCAGCACTGTACACCATCCATCGTAGCCCTGATGAGTCGGTCAGCTTCCCGGGAAAACCGTTCTCGTCCATAATCTTTCATAGCTCTTCACGGTCAACAGAATCATGAGGAGCCTTGAAATCGATAAATAGGTGGTGCGTAGGGACTTGATATTCACGACACTTTTGGAGGATCTTCCGCAACGTAAAGATTATTATTATTATTATTTAGCTTTATTTAGGAGGCTTTCAGCCTTAGGCTGGTTCGCCTCCAAAAAACGTAAAGATTTGGTCCGTTGTTGATCGCCCGTCCACAAAACCGGCTTGATAAGTTCCCACAAATCTGCTTGCTAGCGGCGATAAACAGCGAAAGATGATCTGGGAAAGCACTTTGTAGGCCGCGTTAAGAATAGTGATCGCTCGATAGTTCTCATATTCTAGTTTGTCGCCTTTTTTACTGGGCATTTTACTCCCTCTTTCCACTCCTCCGGTAGCTGTTCTGTATCCCAGATCCTGACTATCATTCGGTGCAGACAAGTGCCCAACTTATCCGGGCCCATTTTGATGAGTTCCGCTCCGATACCATCTTTCCCAGCTGCTTTGTTGTTCTTAAGCTGTCGGATAGCATTCTTAACTTCACCTATCGTGGGACCCGAGCAAAGTCGGTTAACAAAATGAAAGCAAATCGATATTAAAGTTTGCAGTTCCTATCATAATGAAAACTAATTTTGATTTCAATTGCCGCGACAGAAGTCTGATATCATATTGTGCTTTCATTATGCAGTCAAGACTTTTTAAATAACTTAAGGTGATTCCCTGTAGCGTCCTTTTTCGTATTACACTTCGCAATTTCACATATTGCGAGGTGTTATGGAAAAATGGACTCTACAAGGAAAAACCTTAAACAACTTAACTTGAAGTTCTGCTGTTAACGTATTGTTTAAAATTTTATTTAAGTTCATGTTGTTGAACTAACGATTATTATTTTTTTAATTTAACGGAATCCTTTTATGAAGAGCTTTGAGTGTGTTGGTTTATTTCCTTTAAATTCCGTTATAATTGCTTATATTTTGACAGATACGCGTATTTCGTCTACTATACTTGCAGACTTCATTAGTGCCAAGTACTCAAGTGGTGTTGAGTACTTGGCACTGACGAAGTCTGCAAGTAGTAGACGAAATACGTGTATCTGTCAAAAGATAAGATATTCACCCCTATTCTGTATTTCGTTTCGAACGAAATTCTCATTCAAAAAAATATTTTTTTTTTGTATGAGAATTTCGTTCGAAACGAAATACAGAATAGGGGTGATTATAACGGAATTTAAAGGAAATAAACCAACACACTCAAAGCTCTTTATAACGATTATTGTTTATTTGTTTTGTATAACACATTTGAGGTCATTCGTGTTTTGCTCGGGGTGAGATTTGAGCTCAAGTCTTTCAACGTGAGAAGCATGGATACTAACCATTTACGCCAGGCAAGTATTCAGTTAAACATGAATGCAAAATCAGTAATCAAATTGATTTCATTGATAGCAGGATTACTTTTCCGTTTGATTCAACAGTGTAACATTTTGCTCTCATTTTTGCTGTGTTAACCGTTAAGTCAACCAAAATGAGATCAACTGGAGTATTCAAAATAAGTTATATCATAACAGCAAATTTTGATTTCAATTTGATCTTCAGCTTTGCTCGGGGAGCTGGCATGTCCCCCTCATCCGCTGTACCGACAAAGCCATTCCTCTTGCCGCCTTGGTCCTCCGCCTCTGCGCCGTTCAGATGCTCATCGTAGTTCTGCTTCCACCTTTCAATCACCTCACGTTCGTCCGTTAAGATACCCCCTTCCTTATCCCGACACATTTCGGCTCGCGGCACAAAGCCTTGGCGGGATGCGTTGAGTTTCTTGAGAACGATACAGCTGCTCCATTTCTTCGCACTCCAGCTCTTCCAGGCGGCGCTTCTTATCCCGGAAAAGATGGGTTTGCTGTCATCGCTTCTGTTTATATCGCTCCACATTATGACGGGTTCCTTGCTGTAGCATCGCCGCCCGCGCTGCGTTCTTCTCGTCCAAAACCGTGTGACACTCTTCGTCGAACCAATCGTTCCGTCGATTCCGCTCCACGAACCCAACGGCGCCATCAGCTGGCTGCTTTAACGTTGCTCTCCCTCATCCGGCAACACTGCGTCGAGGCGTTGCACGTACTCAGTTTCGACTTCGGGCAGCTTCAGTCGCTCCAGATTGTATCGTGGCGGGCGTCGGTAACGAATGTTGAAGACAAGAATGTTACACTTAATACTTTCGCAAGCCATGTCTTATTTTTTTTATTTCGTCCCACTGTGCGGGGAGGGTATTTTTCGCAGTAGCTGAATTCGTAGCTAATGGTTTTTACCTTTCTTATTGCGCACTTTTCACCACTTTAGACTCCTGTGCAACACATAAATGCACAGTAATCTTTTTTGCACAGGCAACAGCTTCAGAATAGTACTGACAAGCTACACTAATGAATTCAAGCTGCAGGAAACTTTAAAAAGGTTAATATTTAAACTTTATAACCAGTGCGAAAATATTACTGTACAGTTTTTTTTATCGCAAGAGTCTAATGAGGTGCGAAATCTGCAATGTGTACA